TAACACGCCCAGACGCAGCTGCGTCCACGCCGGTGCGTAACCACATGTGGTCCAACCAATCACTTTCAGGGCTGAATGAGACAAAGACAGTTTTCGGTGGCCGCTTGGATTACTGCCGTTAGACCTCACTTCGAGCCTAGACCCCTCGCGGCTGGACGTGCGCTTCGACTCTCGAAACTTTCTCCTAGCTATTTTACAACCCTTCTGTACAGAATAAATTCTTCCTGCCACTCTGGCCTTCTCATAATTTCTGTCTCTTCTCCTAAGGAACCGGCCCTGGAAGATCGTAGCCGCTAGGGTTAACCTTATTAGCCTCAACACTACGCGATAGCGTTGGTTGTAGTGGCGATGGTGGTGGTAATCGTCGTCGTTGTAGTTGATTAGTAATGGCGGCGGTGTAGTGAATGATGTTACCTATTATAGACAGTTACCAAAATGGCTAACAAGCCAGAAATGGCCAGTCCGATCTCCTTTTGCTTTGTCGGATCCATTTCATCAGTTACCAATACTTCTAACGACAACATCATCTCTCCACCCACGCTCATATTCTTTATAGTGTCGACAAACGCAAAGGTTCCACTATTAGTAATAAACATACAGTCGCCGCGTCCGCACTGCCTACGCACTTTCACTCATCGCATGGGCCTACGTGGCCAGATGCGCAGCCACCAAAATTTGCACTAAATCACCGCAAAGTGGTCCACATCATCACACAGTCACTCCACGATCACATGTATTACGCATGCACTGTCTCTCTCTCTCTCTCTCAATACCGAAACTTGCCCGAGAAATGTGTTCTTCGGTTCCTTCTCGTGTGACTTCTCGGCTACATGCGAAATCTGTGCCGCACAAATAATGATAAACGCAGTTCCTCGTAAAGTGTAAGCTATAACTAGATGGAATATAATAGGTGTACTGAATTGCGGACCCAGACAGTGAGGGCCGGGAGCCTAACCACAGTGCCTTTGAGTGTTATGCAAAATCCTACGCAAGTGTAGGCAGTGACCAGGTGGTGTATGATGAAGTATGTGTGACACGGAGACCCAGACGCTGTGAGTTGGGATCCGTGCCACCGCTTCCATTATTTTGCTGTCGTGTTAAAACTGTATGTAGGTGTTTGTTATGGACCGAAGAG